CGTCGGGGGAAGCGGGGAAGCGAAGCGCTTCGCTCCCCGCTTCCCCCTGACGTCTTTTGCAGCTGTTCCGAAGTGGGGCGGGGGGGCGGGGTCACCTGCCCCAGCCGCCCCACTTCGGAAAGCTGTTCCGAAGCGGGGAGGGGGGGCGGGGACATCTGCCCCAGCCGCCCCACTTCGGAAAGCTGTTCCAGGAACAGCTCCATAGGAACCTCCATAGGCGCCCGTCACCTCTCCAGCCGGGAGAGCGCGCGCGGGGCTAAAGAAACCATAGCCCCGCGACCCTCTCCCAGCTGGAGAAGTGACGCGTGACTATGGCAGCAGCCTCTGAAGGATGCACCGAAGCCTGGCGTGGGGGGGGGGCGGAGAGACCTTCTCCCCGCGCCAGCCTTCGGATGGCTGTCCTGAAGACTTGGGGTGGGAGAAGGGTTTTCCTTCCCACCGCCAACATTCAGAATGCTGTTCTGAATGTTGGCGGTGGGGAGGAAAAACCCTCCTCCCACGCAAGCCCAGGGAACAGAGGAAAAGCGCTGCGCGCCTTCCCCTCTGTTCCCGTACCTGTGCTGAAGGCTTGCGGTGGGGAGAAAAGCCCTTCTCCGCACCGCCAGCCTGGCAAGCAGTTTCCCTAGGAACGCATTAATTGATTTTCAATGCATTCCTATGGGAAACCGTGCTTCGCAAGACGAAAAATTCGCTAGACGACAAAAATTGCGGAACGAATTAATTTCGTCTTGCGGGGCACCACTGTACATTTAAAACTGCTTGCTTGGTTTCCTCTCTCTCTCAGCACTCTACTTCACTTGTTTACTCTTCACAAGTTTACTGTGCCTTCGGTAGCCTCTGAAGGCAGAGTGGTGGTCACAACCATGGTTTGTCAATCCACACATCATGCCAAAACTTAGTTGGTTAGTCAGCCATGGATTCCAATTCTTGTTAGCCAACTGAAGGGCATGGTTTGGCAATTCTGACATCACTGCAATCCATAGTTTAATGTCCTTAACTATGGCTTGTCATGATTTCTGAACCAATCCAGAGCATAAGACTATGCAAGATCTGGCCATTGGTGTGGGGTGGAATCCCCCCCCCAGTGCTTTCTTTTTACCATGGAAAGTGTTCCATTGCTTAAGATCAACAGTAACAATGAATGGATGACAATGGCAAATACAAAATTTGGTAAGCTTGTCAGTTTCAAAATTTTGTTACTTTGCTTACTAAAATAAACATGTTGAATTAGTTACAGATAGGTAGCCGTGTTGGTCTGCCATAGTAAAAAAAAAAAAAAATTCCTTCCAGTAGCACCTTAAAGACCAACTAAGTTAGTTCTTGGTATGAGCTTTCGTGTGCATGCACACTTCTTCAGATACACTGTATCTGTATCTGTGTGTATCTGAAGAAGTGTGTATCTGAAGAAGTGTGCATGCACACGAAAGCTCATACCAAGAACTAACTTAGTTGGTCTTTAAGGTGCTACTGGAAGGAAATTTTTTTTTATGTTGAATTAGATCACCCTATGTTGTGAATTGCTCTGTGCAAATTACCCAAATTTTCAAAGGAATATTTTCCTTCCCCCCCCCCACCCCTGGAAAACCAGCATGACTGGCTCTGGCCTGTTGTTAGCAAATCAAAGAGGCAACTCTGATAGCAAAACAAGAAGGATCACTATATTAGTGTAGTCAAGCAAAAATCCCACTCCACTTTGTAACCGCAACATTTTAACAGTTAAACAATTCTTACAGCCATTCAGATGTCGGCTTATTCTAAGTGCTTTCTGCCCCTTTAACTCTGCAGGGGTGATGTTGGTAGACTTAAGACTGAGTCAATTTGTGGTTACTAACAACTATAAAGGAAAATGTTTTATTTTATTTGATGTTATGTTTCCTCTAAATCCCGGAATGACTATACAATGAATGGGCTGGAGAAAACTTTTAAACAAATGAGTACATGCATTTAGTGGTTCGGTGATGTATTTGGTTTTAGAAGAAAAATCACATCATTCTCCAGGTTTGAAATCCAGCCAAAACTACAGCCAGGGAACTTAAAGAAAGCTTATAGAAAGCATTCAAAGCTGAACTAGTCCACAGTTGCCGATCCAGGCCACATTAAGCAATATGTGAATTTCTACACATACAGGTAACGGTAACCAGTTCTTCCTACCGCATTCCACTCTCTAGTGGAATATATGCAGGCATTCAACACAATAACCCACCCAAGGCTTATAAATAACCATGCACTGGCCCAGTTAAGACAAGCAAACAAGAAGAGGTATGAATGAGCTTTTTGGTCACTCATGCAAGCACTTTCTCCCTACGTTAGGAGTGGGGAACCTTTGGCCCTCCAGACTATGCTGAACTAAAACTCTCCATCAGTGCTAGTAGACATAGTTGATGACCAGGGGCGGTGGAAGCTACAGTTCAGCAACACCTCAAGGGCCAAATGTCCCCCATACCTGCCCTACATGATGTGCCTGAATACAATGCAGAAGAATTCAATGTACCATAGCTTCTCATGGCATCTTAATCAACAACCTTGGGTCCACATTATACATTTAAAGCACACAGCTTCCCTCCAATAATCATGGGAACTGTAGTATACCTCCCCCCAGAGCTACAATTTCCAGCAACCTTAGCAAACTCCAGTTTCCACAATCCTCTGGAGGAAGCCATCTGCTTTAAATGTATGGTTTGGATCTGCTACAAGTTTCAGATCAAGACAGGATGCTTAAATGAACTATACACACCCTCAGCCTCCTCCTCACACGCCTGGCCAAATCTGGAGGGCAAACACTGTACACATGCACTGAAGCGAAAATTAAATAAGGAAAGGAAAACAGAATATGGCAGGAGATCCCATCTTAGAACTCTTACATAATGTGCAACTTAGCCCCAACATTCTCCAAATATCAGCCCCTAGTGTATCTCCCTGGAATTCTCTCTCTCTCTCTCTCTCTCTCTCCACACACACACACACACACACACACACCCTGCCCCCCCCCTGCTGAATGGATCTCTGAGGAACAAATATCTTGAAATGAGGAGGAAATTGTTGTTAGAACCCATTTCTTGGAAAGACTGAAGTCAATCAAGTGTGATTCAGGGTGTCAAATGAGCATTTAATATAAAGGAGATGCCTCAAAATGTGCAAGTAATCAAAATTCAAAGGAAAATTGTTCCCGAAAAAAATATTAAGAGATTTGTTAAAGAGAAGAAAGGAGAGCAAAGTGTTAAAAAGAAGGGCTTGCATCATTCCACTAAGTAGCAATCATTTGGGGAAGGAAATGGGTTACCTCACCCTTCGAGACATGACGCACACACCTCAACTATGTGGATCCTGAATCAGAGAGGCTTTGCCCCTTTACACCGAGCTGTTTATCAGATTTCAAAAGCTTCATGACTAGACCCCTGGTGCTTGCCAAGCAATTGTGAAAATTCACTGGCAGGGTGCAACTGGCGCACAGACCAGTGTTACAAAGCCATGAGAATTTCTCTTTCCCTTTTCCAAGTAATTTAGGAACACACCCAACCCTCTTCATGAAAAGCCAAACATTCCCTCTTGGTATTTATCATGAATTATAACATTGTGAGGAGGATTCTGGATTGCCCAGCAGGAAACATTTTGCTTTAACTGAAAAATAATAATTAAAAAAAATGAGATACAAATGCAGGACTTGTGCACTCTTTCTACACTTCACAATCTGCTTCCCAAAACAATTTTACTGTCACTTCAGGTAAAAAAATTCAGTGGGTGCGATTCAATTCAGCAGGTGCATGATTAAACTTTCTGTACTCTGTGTCCAAATTCTGTAACTCTGACACACACACATACACACCAGAAGAAAAGAAAAAAAGAGTTTTACAGCCTGACTTCCTAGACTGATATTGGTTTTACTGCTTGGTAAATTTGTCCAAGATTCTTTCTGGCTCCTGGAAAGAATGCCACCAGCTTTATGAAGCCAACAAATGGGACACAGCCAATATCCACATGGAAGAACAACAAAGAATAAATATACACCCAGAAAACAACACACTATATCCCAAGACAACAGAAAAGCACAACACAGCTATTTCCAACTACCACTTATTCTTCTAACATATAAGACCAAATGTGAATATAAAGTTGTATTTTAACTGCTTAACTAGACCAACTAAAAACATTTTGATCGACTTAAAAAAACTGGAGAAGTCCTTATGAAACCTCTTCGAGCATTATATGGGCTATGACACACATGTGCATTGATAACAAAGTATTCTTCAAGCTTCTGAAATTTTGTGTTTTCTCCATACGTTTAGCTAAATCAAAGTTTTAACCCCTATGGACCACCTGAAAATTGCTGAGAGCCTCAGCAATTGTATTTATCCTATTTACATCCTTCAAGGAGCTCAATGGTTCTCTCTCCCTTCTCATTTAATCCTCAAAGAAACACTTTGAGGTAGGTTAGGTTGAGAGGGAGCGATTGGCCCAAGGTCACCCAGTGAGCTTCAAGGCTGAGTGGGAATTTGAACCCTGGTCTCCCAGGTCCTAGTCCAGCATTCCAATCATTCCACCACACGGGTAATGGACCACAATGACTTTTCAGCCAGCTGTAGCATTTGTTAACATCTAATCCAGCATCCTGTTCTCACGGTGCACCACTAGATGCCAGAGGGAAAGGCACAAGCAGGGAAAGAGCAGCACAGCCCTCCTGTGGCTTCCAGCAATTGACATTCAGCAGTATTGCTGCCTCCCAACTGTGGAGGCAAAGCATAGCCATCATGGCTAGTAGCCATTAAGGGAATCAAGAGCCCTCTCCATGAATTTCTCTAATCCTCTTTTAAAGTCATCAGGGTTGGTGGCCATCACTGCCGCCTGCGGAAGTGAGTTCCATAGTTTAACTATGCGTTGCATGGATAAGTATACTTTTGTTTCCCTGTCTTGAATCTTCCAGTGTTGAGCTCCACTGGGTGTCCACGGCGTCTGCCTGATCAAAATGCACATGTTGCAATCACATATACAAACCTTTGCCTTACCTGCCGTGGAAGAGTCGGGTGGTCCTGCTTGTTTTGCGCTACAGCGATGCTCAGGACTACAATATGGGAGAGCGCTGAAACGCTGCTGACAATCACAGCATCTCTCATTCCCAAGGGAAACATGGTATAAGCCGTGAAGATGATGAACAGAAAGAATGGCACCTGTTAAAAAGAAACGAGATCCTTGATGTTTTCCAAGCACCTGTCAAAAATTACGGAACAAATGATAGGTTTCGAAAGAACAACGGAAGCTGTGAAGGAACCAGTACTCAAAAACGCTTTCAGGGAACTGGGTAAGAACAGCACAACTTCCACTTCTATAAATGGGTTAGGGAAACCACTGTGTTAATCAGAAACCTAGGTAAAAGGCAGGTAAAAAAGGTAAAGGGACCCCTGACCATTAGGTCCAGTCGTGACCGACTCTGGGGTTGTGGCGCTCATCTCGCTTTATTGGCTGAGGGAGCCGGCGTACAGCATCAGGGTCATGTGGCCAGCATGACTAAGCCGCTTCTGGCGAACCAGAGCAGCGCACGGAAACGCCGTTTACCTTCCCACTGGAGCGGTACCTATTTATCTACTTGCACTTTGACGTACTTTCGAACTGCTAGGTTGGCAGGAGCAGGGACCGAGCAACGGGAGCTCACCCCGTCACGGGGATTCGAACTGCGACCTTCTGATCAGCAAGCCCTAGGCTCAGTGGTTTAGACCACAGCGCCACCCGCGTACAGGACAACAATCAATAAACTGGGACACAACCCCAGCAAGACAGAGGTACAGATGAAGGGTACTTCATCTATCTGAGGAGTTAGCATTCTGGATAGGGTTGCATTCCATCCAGTTATTCTTCTGATCTAATGGGCAGTGTATTATAGGCCAAAGTATCTCACTGCACGTGGCGGGGGGATGGGGGCCTGCCTCCCCTCTTACCCCACCCTCCCATCTGCTCTCCAAAGATCCAGAGAGATGTCTCCTTTTACCACACCCAGGCATATACAGGAATGTTTTGTATATGCCCAGTGCAGTCAACCAATCAAATCTTCCTGCCTGCTCTTTTCCCTCCCTTTCTATCTCCAGTTTGATGAAACATTTCTCCAAGGCACACCCACATCTGTAACTCTCAATGGTGCCCCTAATTGCTCATAATCAAAGCAGCATTAATTTTGCAAATTGATGTCATAATTAAATGATTCCCCCCCCCCACTGCAGGTGATTAGCCATGCCCATTTGCATAATGAGTAGTGTCTGGGGATATTCAGACAGCCCCAGATTTGAAGGCAGTTGTGTTTTGTTTTAAAGCATGCATTTTTAAATGAGTGTATATAAACACAGCAGAAACACATCCCTTCCCAGAGCCAGTGGGCAGAATATTTGGACTTGGGCTAGAGAAACCCAGGTTGCAATCCCTGCTCACCCATGAGGCTCACTGGGTGACCTTTCATCAATGGCTCATGGGAGAGGTTAGATGAAGACATGTCATATCTTTAAAAAGCACATTCAACATACAGTCCCCTGAATCCTGGGAACTGTAATGTACCCCCTTCACAGAGTTACATTTCTCAACACCCTTAACGAACTACAGTTTCCAGGACTCTTTGGGGGGAATGTGCTTTAAAGATATGGGGTGCATGCAGCCCAAGATTTTGGAGGAAGACTGATAAGGAACCCTATTCAATGCCATGAGCAGCCTGGAGGAAGGAGCAGATGACAGATCAATAGATAAAAATTAAAATACCTGTTCCCATGCAGCAAGTTGAGGAGTCTTCCCTGCGGCAAAAACGGAGACATATCCTATGGCCAGCAAGCAGATCCAAATCACAACAGCAAACAATTTCAGCCGACACCAAAAGAAGTATTCGAAGTAAACCAGAAAATACATGACTATGAAAATTATGAGTGCTGTGCCGACTGTAATAAGGTAGGCAAGATGATCTCCCGGTGGCTGATAAAAAATAAAACAAAAGTCACCAAAACACACACCACAGACTGTATGCATGTTCTCATTCTTCCATAGCACAATCTCCCAACAATCTAAACTTTTAAAGGCATCAGAAATTCATAAACTAAAGCACACTAGCAACACAAGAAGCTCCCTTTGTCTGACCTGGTATATCTGATCATCTACCCTAGAAGCAGAGAACCCTCTCTGTATGTTGTTGGGACTACAATTCCCATCATTCCTGGTCACAAGGGAAGGAATTCGTTTCAGTTCGAGACTATGAAATTTGAACTTTCCAAAACAATATGTGAACCAAAACATAGTTACCCTCCGAAATCCATACTTATCCAAATTCTGTGATGCAGTTATCCAGCCAACTAGTGTTTACAAATATATGCATATACAATGGGAAAGCATGAGAAAATGAAGATATCAGTGCAAATAACGTACAAAACTGCACTATTTTATAGAAAATTGCTTTTAAAAATGTGCACTTTAGTCAAAATTGCATATAAAAATGTGTCTATTAGGGAATAGTACACATTTAGATGCTGTTGAATTTTCATATGGATTTTTTTTTTAATTGAAAAATTGCAAATTGCTTCAAAATGTGGAGAACTGAATTGACTATTGAAAAAATGAGAAACTGGGAGATCCTTCCATTTCTGCTTTGCAACTTTTAAACTGGAAATCCCACTGGCTCTGTTAGTGCAGCTGAGAACCTATCCCCCACTGCCAGGATAAAAGTATAACTCCTACTACAGCAACAAAACCTCACATTGTATAAATACTTCAAGCATTCACAACTTGGTATTCACAAGCAATCCCCGCTGATAGTATTGTATTCTGGTAACAATTAGATTTAAGCCCGGTATTGGACTCTAAAGTGCCTTAGAAATGTGCAGCACCTTAGCAAATCCTCCCTCTCCCCCTGTGTACTGATCTCAGTTTTTCTAGGTGTTTTTGGCTGCTACGAATGAAGACACACTGACCTGAACTAGCGCAACTAGAAAATGAAGCATCTGGTGCCCCTCTTGCTACAGATCCCTTTTATAACCTAGAGCAAATTACTTCGGGACTTCATTCCAGAGCCCGAAGAGCAAGAAGAGAGGCATCTATATCTACTCACATGCTGGGTGAGGAGAACGACGATGAGGGTCGCACAATAGGCAATGACGATGAAGAGCAGGAAGAAGAGGAGGGGATGCTGTTGGCTTGAGTAGCGGTACTTCTCGTACAAAGGGTCTGTTATCTTGCAGCCTTCATTCTCGTTGAAGAAGTATTTGCCTTTCGCTGGCATCTTAATTCTGGCTGGGCCACGGTGGTGCCTCTCCCCCTCGCGATAGGCAGGGCAGGTCTGCGCTGCTCCAAGTAGCCACCTCCGGTCAAGTAGCTGCTGGGTCTGCCTTGTTTGGCCACATCAGCAGACTCGCGCTCTGCGCTCGCATCTCTTCTTATAAGCATTAAGTCCTCCAGATCTCAGCATAAATTGGAAGAGAAGCACCCTCCTCCTCCTCCGCTCCCAAGCCATGTGCTACTCATCAACAGTTCCACACATGGTGTCCACCCCCCCTTCTTCTTCCAGACTTGATTGCTATTTGTGTTGCGGATGGGAGGCTGCTTCTATTTCGCCGTGTTCATTCAAACATCTTGCACAAGCTGTCAGTTATTCCCTCAGATTACTGCTTTGTGGGGCAAACTGCAGAGGAAAGACAGAGGGAGATAGGGTTTTGTGCATTTTAAAAAATGTTTCAAGTATAGCAGGTGCGTCTTTGTCTAAGAAGAGTGCATGTTCCTCAGCCCCAATAAAGTAAATATTATTTAACAACAAGGGCAAAATACACACACCTTTTCTCCTCTCAGGATGAGTGAGTCACAACAACGATCCCTTTAAACACGATGCTCGTCTTATGGTAACAAAATACTGTAACATTGTTGTCAGCATGATGATTATTACTCAACCTTTTTTTCTCCTGCAATATTCAGTATTGTAGTCCTTTTCATTCATCCTGCCATTATCCACCCCCACCTGCTCCAAGTACATTGTTAAAAGGTTCGTGGGAAATATTAGAGCAACCTTGTATTTAACAAGTCACCCAGTAGTCACAGGCAACCAGCAATTCCATGCAGGCAAGGGATTAAGGACACAAGAAGAGCCCAACTGGAGCAGGCCAGTGGCCCATCTAGTCCAGAATCCTGTTCTCACAGTGGCCAACCAGATGCCCATGGGAAACCCACAAGCAGGACCCGAGCACAAGAGCCCTCTCCCCTCCTGTGGTTTCCAGCAACTGGTATTCAGAGGAAAGTTGGACCAAGGCAAGTAGGTAAGTAGGTAAGTGGAGGAAGAAACTGATCATTCCATCCCTCCTCCACTTGGTGACCATGCTGGCCAAGGAGGAAGGATCAACTATGACAAGCAAACTGGTGGAAGAGGAATGCCCTCCACCAATTTGCTTGACTGAAGGCAAATATTTTCACTAGCTGACTTAAGAAGCTTGTAGCCTGCATGCCCATGCTAGCTGTGAAACATGCTTCTTTTCTTCCTCTGAAGCCAAAATGAAGAAGGGGAAAAACTTTGTGGTGAGTTCCAAGGCTGTATTAGAGATGTCACCTGGTTAAAGAAATTTTGACTGATGAATCATGTGGTTTTAAGTCTATCCATTAATGTCTCTCTGTGTGTTGAAACAATAGTTTCGAATCAATGAAATAACTATTTTGGATGGTGTTTCATAGCAGACATAATCAACAAAAAGGGATTTATCCTGTGTTCAAGAGAAGGGAGGATGCCTCTTCTGAGATGGGGCTTTCCATCTGCAGCTTTTCTAGTGTGCTGTTTTTAAGTATTAGTATTTGGTAGAGAAAACTAAAATGCATTGATTAAACTAAACTTAAATAACCGTTGAAGCCCTACATCTATTTTGTTCTGACATTTCTATACTGTCCAGCCAACTGTGTCCTCACAACAGTTCACAATTTCATACTTTAACTATCCAGTCTGGGCTAGAAATTTAGGGGATAGAGAGACTCTCTTCTATAGGATTAGCATTTAGTTCTAGGGCCCAATTCAAAGCACCCATGTTAGTGTTTATAGCCCTAAATGAATCAGGCTGTGAATACTTGAAAAACCACCTCCTTCCCTACAGACGTCCTCAGGTGCTAAGACTGGTAGAGGGTGCCCTCTTGCTAGTTCCTCTACCCTCAGAGGTCAGATAATGGCAGCCTGGGAGGGGGCATTCTCTGGGGGCCCCAAAGTTGTAGAATTCTCTCCTCACAGAGGCTGGTCTGGTACCTTCATTATACAAATTTCAGCGAATACTGAAAACACACTTCTTGACCCTGGCTTTTGAAATAAATAATAATAATAATAATAATAATAATAATAATAATAATAATAATAATAATAATTTTATTATTTATACCCCGTCCATCTGGCTGAGCTGCCCCAGCTACTCTGGATGGCTTCCAACACATATAAAAACATAATAAAACATCAAACATTAATAACTTCCCAATGCAGGGATACATGCGAGATATTTAGGACCCACCTCATTTATGTGATTGCAGGTTGATTTAAACTGTTTCTAACATTGTGTTTTAATTGGTGTAATCAACCCTGGAACCTTAAAGTAAAAGCTGGGTAATTAATAGTAATAATAATGAGACATCTGAGAGGATATTTCCAGTATTCTTTCCATTTACATAGTGAGCGAAGTGAGGTTTTCCTAAAGTTACCCCACAGTTTATAACAACCATCCCTGTACGCAAAAGAGAGAGGCTGGTCCCACTGGGTCTTACTCCCAAGAAAGCATGCACAGGATTGTAGTCTACAGCACATTAAAATATTGAACCCAGTTCCTAGTCCACTAACAGTATTCTCTCCAGAATTAACATACATGTGCAGTTGACTCACAAGCCTAAAACCAGGATGGGTGGGGTTTCCCCCCCCCCCCCAACACAGCTGTACCAGACATGAATAGCCAGACTTAAAAAAACCCAAAATATAAAACCTGAAGCTGACGGATGCAAACACTGGGAGCAAAATTACTTCCATGGCAATAGCAGCATTACATGAACAATGGACAATGAACAAATTACGGTTCTCTAGTAATAACCAATGGCTTTCAAAAGTGGGTCAATATATGAAATCCAGTATCAGGAAAGATTTCCTATAGGAAGTAAGTGATCTATAGGGAGGGGGCAAGTGAAAAAAGAGGGCTAAGCATGGCTTGGGAAGAACTTGAGGACTTGGTATTGTAACTGCAGCTGCTTTGGTACAAAACATCCATCTCCATGGCACCCCTTGGCTCCAATTCAATAGGAAGAGAGCCCCAGAAGAAAACGGGTAAGCAAAACCAGATGTAGGCCAGTTATCTGCCAGTGATAAAATGGTTACTTAAAATATACAGGAGTACACAATGAGCCCTGCTGATGTTAGCAATGGTACCCAACAGGGCAAGTCCTAAAGGCTGAACCAATTGTTTTGAGGTTTAACTGAAAACAAAAGATCTTGGTCAGGACCCAGAAACCTAGTCTATGTGCACACAAAGATTTGGACAGTGGGGGTTTTGGCTCCCTCTTCCTCTCTGAATAATGAACTCTCATCCAGGAGTGCCCTTCAGATGTGGCTGGATTTCAACTCTCATCGCCCCTACCTAGAATGGTCAATGGTGTGTGATGGGAGCCCTGTTCGCCCTCCCAGAATGGTTTAACAATCCATCCCTCCTTCACAGGGAACTCTGAGAACTGTAGATCTGTGAAGGCAATAAGGGTTCCTTAAAAACTCTCAGCACCCTTAGCAGACTACAGCTTCTTTGGGGGAAGCCATGACTGCCTAAAGTGGTATCATAGCGCTTTTCAAAGTGGGATGGTGTGGATGTGGCCATACACCCTGGATGTGTGTGGGGTCTCGGCATTAATCCTGGCATGTCTGGAGAGAGGAGTCCCACACATGCATGTGTCTACTTCCTCCTCTGAAACAAATGAAGCTGTTGCAGGCAGAAGCACTTCCTGCCGTTCAGAGCTTCTTGACCTCAGACTATAGGAGCCCACACAACAGCTAGTTATAAGCAAGGATGAAGCAGACTGTACAGGGAGGGAGTTACCCGACTTGGTGAAATGTTTTGACATTTGATTAAAGCAAAGCCTTACTGACCTTCAGCAATAAAAAAAAGCCTTGATCTTCTTACAATGCCTTGTTTTTAGTTACCCAAAGGCTCATTTATCAACACTAAATTGAAAAGATGAAAGTAAGAGGCCTCCTTTGCCTCCGTCTCTGGGAAAAGCCTCCTCCGACCCTCTTCACTCTTGACTCCTGCACCTGGGCACTCAAATAAGCAGTCCTACAATAGGCAAGGACAGATAATTAAGCAGACTGATTTCATACTTGAAAACAGGGGTGGGGAACCTTTTTTGGGCCCTGGTGGGAGAGATCTTTATCTGACAAGTGGTTGGTCCCACCCATCTGTCACAGTTGGCCAGTTGGGTGCAGGGGGAGACAGTGACCAAGCAGGATTGAACTCCTACCCATCAGCTGAGCTTCTCAAGGGAAGTCTCAGAGGCGGAGTTCACACATTACAGTAAACCATGATTAGCAAGCTTACCATGAGAACCAGTGAGGTGGGTGTAGTGGTTGGGAGCACTGGACTAGGACCTGGGAGCCCAGGGTTCAAGTCCCCACTCAGCCATGAAGCCCACTGGGTAACCTGGGGCTGTTCATCTCTCAGCCTGTGAGGGTAAGATGGAAAACGGAAGGAGCACATGCACTACCTTGAACTTACTGGAGAAGACATGAGCTGTAAACGCAGTTAAACAAATAATAAATAAAGTGAAGAAGGAGCAGGCTGCCATGAAGATTGGCTTAGTGTAACACCTGAACCAAGGCTGTGGCTTTGAGTTTCTCCCTAATGAGCCATGACCAGAAAGAAAGACTCAGGGTTGTACTTTTTCTTAACCCAGGGGACAAAACCCTCAGTAAAACCAATCAATCGATTTTCTTGCAATTAAATATACAACTATTCTTGCACCACAGGGAGCTGTCATATTTCAGTAGGCCACTGGCCTTCTCAAGACAATTCGCCCCCACATGCCTCGTATATTTGTCAGACAAAATACAATACTCCACAAGTTTTAATTTGATTTCCAGCCCACATTTGAATCCATTTATCACACCAAATATTTTCCCCGATCGACATAACTAGCTTCTACATGACTCACGCTGAATTTGACCCTCTGTGGCCCTCTTACATAACCCTTGCAGAGTGCCCCCTTGCGGAATCACCTGTTTGTCACACACAGAACCTGTATCTTCAACACCAGGGGAAAAAAACTTTGACTCAGTTTGAAACACAAGGCACATAAGGACACAAGATGAGCTCTGCAGCACCAGGCCAAAGGCCCCTCTTAGTCCAGCATTCTATTCTCACAGAGGCCAAGCAGATGCCCCAATGGGAAGCTCACAAGCAACAATGCTCTCCCCACTATGATTCCCAGCAACTGGTATTCAGTGGCACAATGCTTCCTATAGTGGAGGCTGAACACAGCTATTGTGGCTAGAAGCCACTGTCAGCCTTATCCTCCATCCAAGATGGTGGCCATCGCTACCTCTTGTGGGAGTGAGTTCCACAGTTTAACTACGGGACCTCATCAGGGTCTTGGAGAAGAACTTTTCCCTTTGCAAGTGCCCAATGATTGCTTTAGGCA